AAAAAAAAAAAACGGTTCCAGGCTGGAAGCCAGAGGGGCGTGGATTTTTATGTTTTCATTCTTCTAGAGCCATGTTTCTCAGCCTTTGCCATTATCTGTCCCTCCCCTGTGGATGGTTTTTGCTAATCCCTCCCACTCTATGAAATTTTAATATCACAGATAGCACTACTATGCGTGTGCGCATGTGCCCCCCCCCCCTGCACACACACATTGAGTAATCCTCACCCCAGAGTTTGGGACYGATGTGTTCCAGGTTTTAGATTTTCCCTAGTTTTAGAATAGTTGCATACCCAATGAGATATCTTGGGGATGAGACCCAAGTTTGAATACCAGATTCATTTATGGTTCATATACACCTTACACACAGGCATAGAAGACAATYGATGCAACATTTTAAATATTTTGTGCAGGAAACAGTTTCATAGTGTGGAATTTCCCACTTGCGGCATTACATCAGCACTCAAAATGCTTTGGATTTTGGAACATTTTGAGTTTGGGACTTTCAGATCAGGGACACTCAACCTGTGTGTGTGTATTTGTGCTTTATATGTAAAGAATAAACGTTGGCCGAGTGTTGTGGCACATGCCTGTAATCCCAGAAACTCAGGAGGTTGAAGCAGGAGGATCGAAAGTTCAAGACCAGCCTTAGCAACTTAGTGAGGCTCTGTCTCAARTAATAAAAAGGGCTGGGTGCTGGGACTGTCGCTCAGCAGTCGAGCACTTGCCTAGCATGCGTGAGGCACTAGGTCCSATCCTCSGCACCACATAAACAAAGGCATTCTGTCCATCTACAATTACAAAAAAAWTTTTAAAAATTAAATAAACAGGGCTGGGATGTGGATCAGTGGTGAAGCACCCCTGGATTTAATTCCTGGTCGGAAAAAAAATGTTGACTCCCTTGGAGGGACATTGCCCCCCCGTTGAGTGCATGATTGTCCTGGACACATGGTCGGCAGCTGCCACATCACGGGCTCTCAGTAGGTGTCTGTCGAATGGATGAGGGACAGGACAGCACCTCTCTTTGTTCCCTCTCCTCTCCCCTGTGCCCAGCACCCTGCCTAGCCTTAACTGGGTACTCAATAAATTTCTGGGTTTTTCTAGAAGACTGGAAACTCGATTTTCCTCTTTGGCATACAACCCGCACACAATTATAAAAGATTGTTAGCTGTAGGGAAAACAATTTAATGAATGGCATTGTGAAAGACAAACCAGAAGCCACGGGGCCTGGACAGAAAGTTCYAGAAGCTCGCTAGAGAGGGAGACTSTGATGAGTGGGCCAGTTGGAGGGGTGGGTCTCACAGGGCCTGTCTTTTCTGACGTGGTCATGTGGACTCCATCACCTCAGGACGCCAGGCCACCCACGCTTTGCAAGGAACCTGAAGACACCTTTCTGCACCATGGAGATCTAGACCCGAGGCCTGGCGTCCCTGGCAGGAGGGCTGAGGACGGGACGCTCATCTGCACCTAGTGCGAGCACCAGCTGCTCCCGGCTCCCGACCCTGAGGCGGCCTTCACAGCTCAGAGGCAGGACGGTCCTGCGGCTTCAGGGCCCACCCCACCGCTCAAGGAAGCCTTCTGCCTTATCTCAAGGTGTCCGCCTGCCCGGGGTTTGTCCTGTGTGTGGATGAGCAAGTTTCCAGCCTCCCTCTGTCCCACTCTGCAGGGTAGCACAGTTCTCAGAACTAGGGGGACCCTTGGGACGCTCTCTGTCCTGACATCTGCTCTGAGCGGTAGCTGCCTTCCTGTCTTAGGACAAGGGGATCGAGAACAGGCTTCTGCTCTTACATGGAGGATTTTACCGTCTCAGCATAACTGTGGTCTTTTGTCAAACTCGAACATATTTCCTCTCTCGTGTTCAAGGGAAAGRTGCTGATCTCTCCGCGAGCTCGGCGCCTCTGCCGTGCAAGGYGGGCATCGGGCTGGGGCAGCATCAAGGCCGAATCGTGAAAGGTATCGGTTCAGAYTTCACAGCCTTGATCCTCAGCTCTCAAGAAAAGGGCATTCTGGAGGGCACCTCCTTGAAAATCAAGACACACGCCGCCCAGATGGGGTCAGCGRTCGCCTGGATGGAGCACCTGAAGCAGGGCCAGAATCACTGACCTGTGTCAGACCTGCGGCGGGCGCCGTCGGGGGCTCTGGAGGATCAGGCTCTGCGGCAGGCACCTCATCTTAAGTGGGACAGTAACAATGCCCGTCCACAGGGTGTCGTGGAGTTTAAGTGAGATGAGCCATGGCCTGTGCCTGGCTCCATGCCTGGCACATAGTAGGTGCCTGGTTCACAGCACGTGGGCTGTTGCTGTCACCTGGGTTCCCTGCTGCCGACCTACTGTTTCCTCTCTCCTCTTTCCGGCTCACCTGGAAACCTGAACCCTGCCTCGTGTCCTTCACCATCTCTATAAACTCTCGTCTCTTCAACATGGAGAGAACAGGGCCACCTTACACTTAGGTTCACCTCTCTGCTTTTTGTTGACTCAAAGAAAATGGATTCTTCTCAACTTTTAGAGTCCATTTGGGATGCTGGGGCTTCCCTGGCCAGGGGGTGATGACGACGCCTCCCGGGAGGGGTGTGGCTGGGGACAATGGTCCACCACCCAGACTAGCCTCCTGGGGATCTCTGTTCAGATTCCAGCTAGGAGGGGGCTGGTCGGCCAGGGTCCCCACAGAACCCTGCACTCCCCTCAGGGACCAATCTGCTGCAGCTGGTGGCGGAGCCTCCCGGAGCAGGGCTGGACGTCCCCAGGGGGGGGGTCTCTCCTAAACATCCCCGTGGTGTAGGTGCGAGGAACTGTCAGGGATCACAGCCTGTTTGGAAGCCATCACCTCAACTCTGGGGCTTGCTATTTCCTTGGGGTTTGATTTGCAGTTGCTGACCCTGGGGTCCTCAAGACCCTGCACCTCAGGGGCAATGCCCAGAGGAAGGAGACTCCCGAGGAGCTGAGGACACGACCGTGCGCCAGCTGGGCCTCCCTTTCAGGTGGTGGTGGGTGAACGTATGGAGGCACCTGGGGAAGAAGTTCCAAGAGCCCCAAGCTCACCGGGGGGTCACCAACCGGATGCTTCCAGGGGCCAGCGGTGCAAAAGAAGGGGGTCAAGTGGGGGAGGCAGCAAACCCAGGAGCAGCCTGTGTCCTTTCTAAGAGGCCTGGGAGATGGTGACWTGGGAGGTTGGTCACCACCATCTTCCAAGTTCCTCAGAGAGGCCAGAGATCCAGAGTATTCTGTGGAAGGGCCCTATTTTGAGATGTGACTAAAAACAAAACCACAGACCAAAAAGACCAAACCAACCAAAAACCCACCCAAACTAGAAAACACCCCGTGAGCCAAGAGAAGTGCGTCTGTGGCTGCCGGGTGCGACAGCTACCGCGAGCCCCTCTCCTTGGCAACCATCGGGGCCCAGGAAGCACTTGTTGACGGGTCCCAGGTGAGACCCAGGGCGCCCCCACTCACTCGCATTTCAGAATAATAGTTTTCTAAAGTAGAATAAGTGCGTTCAGCACACTGTTTAGACGACCCAGTCTCWGTATGTCCTAAACTCTTGGCTGCTTCTCTGAAATTCAAACGCGGCTGGGCATCCTGGTTTACTTTCCTCCCAGTCTGGCAACCTACTGGGCTCTCCCCAGGCCTTGGAGGAAGGCCCTTTATTGGCAGGTAAAACCGGTGAAGGGAGCTGCTCGGGGAGCAAGGGTTGGGGTGCCCAGGACCAAGGCTTCAGGGAACTGGAGTCTGAGCACTGCTCAGTCCTGCACGGAGTCCAAACGGTGGGCTGCTGAGCTCTGAAGAGCAGAGCCTGGCCACCCGCAGACCTGCTTTTACAGAACTTGACTGGACTCGTGGGATGTGGGGACATTGRTCTGTCTCACGGAACTTCCTCAGACATGGCTCGGCTGACACTGTGTTGCTTCTGCACTGTGGCCATTTTTAGGAACATGGTACATTATGCCACAGTGTCCCCTCTGGGGGAGTGCCCAGTGTGGTCTCTGTTCTAATGCTTGTGTGCCTCCCACAGACACTGTGACCTGGAGGCCTAAGTGGTTTTCCCTCTCCCATTGGCTGCCAGGAAGCTCAGAGGCACATGAGGCTCCCCTTGGCAGGTGTGGAAGTCATTAACAATCGGGACTCCATTCCCATCCTGGATCCTTTTATGCCCACTTTTCCTGATTTATTTCATTCCTAGGACAGGATTCTTGGGGCTCTCATCCCTCCTTTCCTTTGTCATGAGCTTGTCGGCAAGTCCCCAATTCATTCAGTGCCAAGGATGGTGCCTCTGCAGCCAAAGCACTTTCGAGTTCCCTCTCCCCTCGCCTCAACGCACTGGGGCAGACACTTGCTGGTCTTTTCAGTCATTTGTTCAAATATTGGGCAGGGGCTGGGGCTGGACAGGGATTGGAGTGGAGGTGTGCGATGTCCCTGGGGCGTCCTTGGGGTAGCACGGCTGGCATTTATGCTTCATAGGCTCTTACCCTCTGCAAAGACTGAATCTAGTTTGTGTCTGGCTGCCTGAGCAGAACACCTTTCCATACCTGCCGCTGATTCTCTTTGAAGGAACAGTTGCAAGGTGCTGAGTCTTTTGCATTTCTGTTTTCAGGATCCWCTAAATGTTCCTGAGTGAAAACATCATGTGAACAAGAGTGTTTAGTATGTCCTTGCCTGTACCAGTCGGGGACACACCTCTGGCATTTCGGGGAGGTGCTGGGATTCACTGGAAGGGGTGGGCAGAAAGGGGGATGGGTGAGRCCCTTTTTCTTTAGCCTCCCTTTAGCCACACACTGCACCACCCTACCCACGTTTTACCTTCTCATCTTTGAAGGGGGATTGGGGGGAGCCTTGCTGAGTCCCCCAGTCCATTCCAGCCTATACAACATCTGGAATGACCCTGGGATACCTAGGGTCACTCCTTGGTCAAAGACACACGGGAATACCTGGCCCAGGAGAACCTTGGAAAGTAGCAAGTTCAACAGAATGTGAAGCTGTCGAGTATCGAGTGGCCCTTATTTGCTTAGGGTTTTATAAATGTGCTCTCATCGAATCCAACCTTATGAGCTAGATACTGATCTTTATTGTAAAGACTCAGGATCTGAGCTAATTACATTGGGAGGAGGCTGGGGCTCCAGCCCAGCTGAGACCACCTGGCCAGCTTTGATTGGCTGGAGCCTGGGAGGGGAGCTGGGCGGCTTCTCTGGCTGCAGTGGCCTTTCTCACACTAAAACCCTAAGGAAGGGCTGAGAAAGGGCTGCCGCTTCCCAAAGGGCAACTTCTGTGCATGTCAATGTTTTCTATTGAAAATTCCGGGCTTAACCCATTCACAAGAAAGTCTCGGCTCTTTCTTGGCCATGGCCCTGGTTGTATTCACCGAACAGAAAAGAGAGCCTTACAAAGGAGCTGCCAACTTCAGGGGACCAGGGGGAAGTCTCAGGGCCGTGCGGACTCCTCAGCTGGCCGGCAGTTCTCTAAGAAACACAGGAATCGCCCCCCCACCCCGAATTGCCATTCTCACCCCCAAGGAGTTGGGTAAGGAGTCTGCTGCCTGCCAGAGGCCACTTCCCCCACGGTCTTGGGAAGTAGGTTCTGTTGTCACAGTATTGTTGAGAAAACTGAGACACAGGGGTGAAGTCACTTGTCACCTGGGACACYGCTGCCTTATCTAGAGATGTGGAAAGTGGACGAGACTTGTGCTCCTGCGCAGCCAGGCATGGCCTCCGCTGGCCTCAGCTTCTCCTCTCTGAGGGGCGGCTCGAGGCCTCTCTAGGTTGGGCTGTCACTGTTACCCTGTCACCTGGAGAGAGCTTGAGGGACATCCCAGAGTTGGGAGGCCCAAGACCAGGATGTTCTCTGGGAATGTCTGGTGCAGAAGTTTCCCCACATATGATAGCAAGTCTCATTTGCACTGTCAAAGGGAAGTAGACATGTGATTCTGGAAAGTTCTGCTTGGTGAAAAGACGCTTAACATTCAAACTGCATTGGTGTGTGTGTGTGTGGTGTGTGTGTGTGTGTGTGTGTGTGTGTGTGTGAGAGAGAGAGAGAGAGAGAGAGAGAGAGAGAGAGAGAGAGAGACGGGGGGGGGGCTGTTTTGAGGCTCCAGGGGAGCAATCCAGTCCATCTTCACGGACAGGTGCTGAGATGTTATCCTGGAGACTTTGAAAGAGCTAAGGCTTCTTGTGAAAATATTAAGTGTAGCACTTAAGAAGAAAAAAGTTCTGTTTTCCTCTAATGTGCATTTTAAAAATGCAAGTATGCTCCTAGGTAGGATCTGATGGCAAGACAGATATAAACAGCTTCCCTTCAGAATCCAGCAAAACTGTAGAATTTGCTACTCACCCCCCCACCCCACCCCACCCCAACTGCTAATAACCAATACCTGGCTGGGGTGAGCGCCCGCGGCTGAGTGCCGGGATGCCCGGATGAACACCTGGAGCGCTGGGGCTGCAGGGTTCRGGGGGAGCACAGTGACCAGGGCTGGAGGGAGGGTCCGGGGGACCCTGCTTGTGCTCCTGCGCAGACAGGCATGATCTCCGCTGGCCTCAGTTTCTCCTCTCTGAGGGGTGGCTTGAGGCCTCTCTAGATTGACGTGAGTGCCCTGGGAGGGACACGGCAGCCTTTCCTGTCCCATCGCCCTGCACTGTGGATTCTGTGCAGGGAGATCCCCTGCTTTCGCTCTTCTGGGGTGACACAGGTTTCACTTGGCCAGTTCAGACCTTCCCCTGTGGGAGGCTGGCTGGTGCCAGGCTGGCAGGGCTGATTGTGTGGAAGAGGCCTTGTGAATAATGCATGCAAGCTGATTATGCAAATCCCCTGTCCCTGCACTCCGCCCACGCACCACAATGGGCTTGGTGGGGCCCTTTGCTGTCCTGTTCTGTGGCTGCTGTCTCTGCCTGGGGGCCGGGCTGCCAACCCTGGGGGGCACCCCGGGAAGGAGCGGGCTCCCCAGAGGGCACATCGAACCACATGTCAGACTGTGGCGCTGCCCAGCTTTGCTGGCAGGCTCGGTGCAAAAGGACACTGTCTTCCTCCTGAGGAAGCCCTGTGACGCGAGTGTGGAAGCCTGTGATGTTTAATTCAGAGCAGGGGATGCTGGAGACAGCGGGTCTGGGCTCCCTCAGAGCTTTCCTTCCCAGGCCGGTCTGCAGAGTGGGAGGGGGCTTCTGGGAGCCGCATCTGCACCAGATGCTGGGATAGGAAGGGGGGACCTTCTAGGGGAGCCAGCCTCTTCAGAGCTCAAGCAGGTGACACACAGTGTGCACGTGCACACACACACACACACACACACACACACACATGCGCATGTGCGCTCGCACACGGTTCTAAAGTGAAAAAGCTAACAATTACCAGGGGGCCCTGGAGGCCCGCCCAGCACAGGGCACAGGAGCCAGGGCCAGAGACATCTGCAGCCAGGTCCTGGCTACTGCGTGAACTTGGGCGAGTCTCAACTCTCTGCACTCAGCTGCCCCATGTGTAAAACAGAGACCCTGGGACCAGCCAGGCAGGACTGTTGGGCTCGGGAGTGAACTGGATCGTGAATGCACACCACAGGCAGAGCCCTGGCCTGGCCTGGCCGCAGAGCGAGGCTCCACTGAGAAGAGCTGGCCCAGTGCCCAGGGAGTGGCCGAGCTCTGCTCTAAACCAAGGTCTGTCTATAGCTCTTCTGCCACCTTCCTTTCCACCAGTGAATGTGTTGTGCATGCCCTGGACCCTCCTGGGGCCACCGTCTGCCATTTCTAAGGGGGCTGAGGGTCAGCCTGGGGGCTCCACCCCAAGCAGAGGCGCCTCACCTTCTGCTGCCGGATGGCCCTGTTGAACCTCTTCTCCTGGCTCAGCTGGTGCTCCGTGCGCTCCAGGGCCTCCTTCAGCAGGGCCTTCTCCTCCGTCTCTTTGTAGATGTCGTCCTCCAGCTTGGCCACCTGTGACTGGTACATCTGGACGGACACTTTGCTCTGCCTGGGCACATGGAGAGACAGACAGGGTCCCTTGTTCCCCTCATGGTCCCCACTCATTGTCCATGTCCTCAGATCAGTGGCCCCTCCCAGTGCTCGCCCAGGGGGCTGACTTAGGAGCTTCCTCCCAAGCCTGAGACAGCATGGGATTTGGGGAGCAGAGGCAGCACACACAGCTCCTGGGCTGGACGCACGCAGCCTGGGGTGGTCCAGGCTGTGCTCCCCACTCCCAACTTCCCTGGGACCCGCAACTCTTGGGGACGGATGGAACGATCAGAGCCAGWCCAGTGAGTCAGGAGGCTGACAGCAGGTGCCCTCTGCCCCAGAGTGCACGGAACTCAGGAGCCGAGCGCTCCAACTGCAGCCTCTTGATGGACAGACTCACCCCGCTGGGCCTGGCTGTTGTCCCCCCAGCATTTCAGCCACTCTCCTCTCGGGCCTCTGTCCTGTGCCAGCCCCAGGGGTCTGCTGCCTGTGCTCAGCTGGAGGGGGCCAGGCGGTACCTGAGCCGCTCCACGTCCTGCTCGTAACCTTTCAGCAGCTCCTCTTTCCTCTGCAGCCGGGTCTTGAGCTGGGTGATCTTGTCAAACACCAGGTCCAGGTCCCTTTGTCGCAGCTGGTTGACCTTCTCCCTCTCTTTGGCGGACAGGTGTTTCATGGACACGTGACCTGACATGTCTTTGATGTTCATCAGGCTTCCCAGAGTCCTGCTCATGTCCAGGTACTGCAAGGAAAGCCAAGGGGCCTCAGGGGCGGTGCCCTGGCCCCCAGCTGTTCCCAGAAGGCAAGTGTCCAGTCTGCTTGGCCACCCTCTGCCACTGCAGACGGAAAGCGGCTTCGTTGGCCCCGCAGCCACTCACGCTAGGCCTTTTTGGGACCCCCCTGGCTTTGCTGGCTCTCGAGGCGTTGGACTGGGCGGTTTCCGAACCGCGTTGGGGTGACAGACAGGCCTCGTGGAGTTTTAGAAAGAYCACGGTTAACAGTGACCCCAGGGCCCAGGCTTTGGGAGGGGCCCCCGAGCTGTGGGTACACACCAGTCTTTCACTGAGATCCAAAGCCTCGGTGACATCCGTCTTATCTGACTTCTCCAGGGCGGAGCTGGTGTCTGAGTTGGAAAGGCTGTCCTGGAAGGAGAGAGAGAGACACACAACCGCTCCACCCTCCATCATGGGAGTCTCCAACCGGAAGCTGCGCTCAGGGATGACAGGAGCGTAACTCAGGAGGAGACTCCCATTTCGGTTCCTGGCCACTCAGTCTGAACTCCTGGCCACTGCTTTCTAAAGAGGACCGTGCTCCGACCCTCAGAGAAGGCTGTGCAGTGTGTTATACACGRCTCCTCTGCTCTGAAGGCGCTGTCTTCCCTCTAGAACAAGGGCTCGCAGTGGGCCTGTGTCCCTTCCCCGGGACATTCAGCAATGTCTGGACACCCTTTTTGCCGTCACGTCTGAGGATGGGGAGTGCTACTGGCATCTAGCGGGAAGAGGGCAGCRATGTCCCTACACATCCTGCCAGATGCCGGCCAGCCCCTCACAGACTGGGCAGGAATGATCTGCCCCAAATACCAGTGGTGCCGAGGTCCAGGGTCCCCATCTGGACCACAAGCGCTACAGGGACCATGTCTCTGTCTGCTCACTAAACTTCTCCTTGTGCCTAGGGTGGCCCCTGACACTGGGTGGCCTGGTATGGGCACAATTGTTGAATGAATGGATGAAGGTTACATAGAACATGTCCCCTCTCCTTTTATGAGAGCAATCGTTTCATGCAGCAGAAGCGAGGCCTTCGGAAAGCATGGGCAAGGCTGTCCTGGTGGAGTGTGYGGCTGGTGGCCCAGGCTCCCTGCAGGCTCTTTCCTGGGATGACACACTCGCTGAGACCCCCGTAACTGCAGGCTGCRGAAAGCCCCTCCCCCAAAGCAATGGGGAAGCCATCATGCCACATGGAGAGTCTGGAGASCCACCAACGGCCACCCTCAAGGTCCTCAGAACCAGATGGGCCTGCAGTGGTYGCTACGAACATCACGGACATTTCACCCACAGCATCTGCTGCACCGCCCTGTCACCCTCTGAGATGAACAATGGAAACCCCCACTATAAAGTAGAAAGGCCAAATGTGACAGTGACAGGAGGGACATATTTACCTACGTCAAGTGGACAGAGTTACTGGGGTGAGAAAACAGAGGGTCTTGGCAGAGCTATGGAACCTTTGTCCATTCATTCAACAGTTTGAGCAGATTGGCTGCAGAGAGAACCCAAAAGGCCCCGTGGTGTCCCCAGCCCTCTGGAGTCCTCCACCTCCAGGCTCCTCCTCCTTCCTTCTCTGCAGACTAGGGGCCGTGGGGGCACCTGCCCAGGGTGCAGTCCTGGCTCCTCKGTCTTTACCTCTGGGATCTTGCATGAGCTACTTGACCTTCAGAAGCCTTCATTTTTCATATCTCCAAAATGGRAACAATAACAACAGCGGTGCCCAGGCTACCGGGAGGGGTGGACGGGGTAACRCCCGTGGGCGGAGCCCTGGGCATCGTCAGCTGTGCGTCCTCCGTGTTTTCATTTTAATCACTGCCCGCCTTGGAGGACTGGGGTTCTCCAGGAGAGTGGGGAGGTTTCCGCTGTGTGGTGTCAGGAGTGGGCCTGGGGGTCACCTCCAAGGGCAAGGTCACTCTGGGAAGTAGGGTCAGGCTTTGAGGTCTAGTTGACCTCCACACCCAAACTCGGAGAAGGAGGGTTTGATTTTATCAAGAAAACCAATTCATTTCCAAAGACATTCATCCTGGACTCTAGGAAATGTCCACAAAAATCTTTGGACGGAATATCGGCCCAGACAGGATGGCCTCATTACTTCTTCCAGAAGCCTGTGCGGGGTTCAGACCCAACTGTGCAGCAGGCGGCCACTCAGAAGGTCTTGTGGTTGACGGTGACCTTGCTGCCCGTTGTCATGTGCCCATGGTGCCCAGTCAAACACCTACGTGGGGTAYAAGGGCACCTTCAAACCACCTCTGAAAATCCTGGCAACCAAGCCTGTACCCCTTTCARAGGGCAGGTTTCCTGGAACACGACTATTTAACTAACATTGAACAGTGACGACAGCTGTCATYTGTTAAATGGGCACTGTGAGCTGGGCACTGGACAGAAGGAACTCCTTGGATTTTCATCATMATTCGACAGCTGGGAAATACAATCTCAGAGAGGTCAAGAGCCTTGCCCAAGGCCACCCAGCTTTCAGGCTGGGATTTGGACATGGTTCCCTCTGACCCCTGAACTTGGGGTCTCATCACTGTTCCCTGCTGCTACCTCTTACATTTATAGTTGACAGGGAAAGGAGACCTGAGGCAAACTCGGGTCATAATGTTACAAAGTGGCCCACTGAGCGGGACCTGGTGGCGGAGGGCCCGTGTCTGCCCTCACGCCCACCCTCTTCGCGGGCCCCTTCACTKCGGAGACAAGGTTTCTCTGGTTACCGCGTGGATCTCTATTCTGGAGGGAGTTGGCAGGTCGGATTTTGTGTCCACTATTATTTTCTGGACGTTTTTCTCCATTCTGAGTGTCTTTAGTTCTAGGAACGATTCGTTCAGGTGGTCCTTACAATCTGGAAGAGACAGAAGGCAGGCTCAGGACGGGGCTCCTCCAGTGAATCCCCACTGCTGCGGTCTGCGGGACACTTACCACGGGGCTGCGAGTCCTCACGACCTCCCTGGCAGATGGGGACACTGAGGCCTAGACAGATTACGTGGCGGGACCCAGCCGCGCGGCAGCACGAGGCGGCAGCAGCCACACAGGTGTCAGGGCTGAGGCCTCGAGGGYGAGCTTCCAGACACGGGGACCAGGACGGGCTGGACCTGGGGCTTCAGGCCTGAGCCAGCGTCTGGTGCCCCGCGGGACCGCAAGCTCCCAGTCTGGAGACGGCCCCTTCCCCTGTGAATGGGGTCTGCTAAGAGATTCCCCGACGCTGACCCTCGGGTAGTGAAGTCCATGACACAGTCTCCTCCCGGCCACAGCGAAATAAGGAGAAGGAGGACACGGGTGAGTTTTCATGATGTCCTATTTATTTCATGCGAAGCCCTGCCCTTGATTCTGAGGTCACGGCCGGCCCATCTGTCTTTGTGTTATAAGGTCCTTCCAATTGGGAGRTGGCGGGGACTAGCGCGGAGGGGACTTACTGGAAGAGCAGGCCTTCTCGAGTTCTTTGATCCTCGCCCGGAGTTCTGACAGGGCCTTTTTCTGTCGCTGAATGACTTCCTCGTGTTGGGAGCCTYTGCACTTGGCCCCCAGGTCACTGAAAGACTGCTCCTGGGGGACAGACAGTGCAGACAGGGGCTTGGTTAGGGATCGRAGGACCTGACAGCACAGACACGTGGGCGCTGCCCGTGCAGCAGGAGCCTGTCGCTTAGTACTCTGGGGAAATACCATCGGAGATYAGCAGAGAAGGAATGTGAATTCTTCATTGCAAATACCCGTCACCTCTAGGAGGATTTCCGACTTTCCTACCTACTTAGCGACACTATAAATAAAAGATCCCCTCTATTCTCCTTCCCCATGTTTTATTTCTTCTCTTCCATGCTCTATGCCTGGGTTTCTGTTCGTCATCATTCTGATCTTGTTTCTGTACCACTGTACCAAGGTCTGCTTCCGCAGGGGCGTTTTCTGCAGTGCTGGGGATGGAACCCAGGGCCTCTCRGGTGCTAAGCCCTTGCTCTACCACTGAACGGCACACCCCAGCCCCAGAGTGGTATTTTTAGTTGAGAACACAACATGCTGTCTCCTAAATTGGACATAAGGATGGTTGTCTCCTATCGGCCAGGGGCATCTGACAGACTGACTCTTGGTGGGTCCCTCTGGAACAGCACCTCCAACAGGACTTCCTGTGGTGACAGAAATGTTCTACACCCTCATCCTCCGATATGGCAGCCACTGGCCACAGATGGACCCTGTCAGACAGCTCGGGGCTGTGGCTGGGTTTACTTAGGGATCAGACAAAGAAGGGTCTTCTTTGTCCTGTAAGGGTCATGCCTCCTTTTAAGATTCAGCAAGATGCAGGGTTCTTTCCTCCAGAAAAATGTCCCCTACACACAAACATCTGCATGCAACTTCCAGAGGTCAAGGACCCCGCCCCAAAGCCGTCCTAGAGTCCACACAGCGCTCCCCTAAGGGGGCAATTCACCCATCATTCCTTCCTCCCTTCCTTCCATGCTTTTTTTTTTTTTTTTGGGCACTTCTGAGTGCCAAGACTTGTTCTAGTCTTTCAAGATTCAGCAGTGACACAACTGGCCGCCTGCCACCAGGGACTTAGCCTCCTAATGGGGGGAGACAGACCACGAGGAAGATAAGGAAGGAAAATATGTGGTGGGCAGTGATGAATGTTAACCGGATAATTAAGTGGGGACATGGGATGGATGTTGGGGACAGTTTTCGGCTGTAGATGACTTGTATGGAAGGCCTCATCCAAATTGGTAAGAAATCGACAATCTGGTTGCTTTATAACTATTTTTAAAATAGCAATCTTAGTTTATTCCATACTACAAATAAAGATATAGGAGATACCATATATAGTATGAAGTGAACCAAAATTATTTAAAAATGATAGGCAGATATTTCTATCATCTGCCTCGATTTCTTTATTCAGATACGTGTCTATCAACCTCTCATTACCTGTCTGTCTTTCTACCTGTCCTCCTACCTACCCCCCTACTGCCCTGACCTCATGCCAGCCCCTCTGTAGGCACTGAGTGAGACTGAGAAGCGGACAGACAGACTGTCTCTGGGGCAGACGGATGACAGACGTGTGAGCAGTGCTACCGTGAGACCCAGCAGGGCTTGGGGAGAGGGAGGGAGACCTTCCTCTGTTCCTCTTCCTGCCGTGACTCTGCCTATTAAGGGTCTATGTGACATGCCAGGCCCCACGCTGGCTGCTCTGGCCTTCGGGGTTCAAGGTCTGAGCCTCCTTCAAGTTGCTCAGTGGCRCCATCTGAGGTCTCTTGGGAATGTCCCCAACCCCGTCCCTGCCACTTACTCCTTCACCGTCTCGTTAGGCYCCAACAAGATGCGTCCTGCAGAGGCCTCCCTGACCATTGGATCCAAAAGAGCCCCCCCACCTCGATGCTCTCCGCCCCAGTCCTGCCGTGGGGTTCCTCAGGGCGCACGGTCCTGCGGGACATTCTACTCAGTGGCGTTTCTTTCCGTCTCTCCCTTCCTGGCACGTAGGCTCCGTGAGAGCCAAGTCTGTCCCCTGTGGAGACCGTGGCCCTTGGGGCTGAGCAGCCCGACTGCACCGAGGCCAGAGCAGGAGCAGGAAGGCCCTTGCCCAGCGTCTCTGCCTGGCACTGAGGGCAGGGCCACTCCACCAGGGCCACCTGGCCGTCCTTGGGCCAGCTCTGGCTTGTTTATGGGCCGCCCCATGGGTCCACTTCCTGGGCCTGACTCAGGCCTCACTCCTCTCTGGGACAGTGGGTTTCCTGGGAGTCAATGACCTCCAGTGACCTGTCCCTTCCTGCACTGAGGAGGGCAGGAGTGCTGAGCTGGGGGCCAAGGGACAGCGGTGGCAATAGACTGCTACCACCTCTGCTGGCCTGAGGTGGGTCGGAGCACCACGTGACGCTCCCTCATGGCTCTTCTGGGAACTTCTATATTGAGAGCGGAAAGAGGTTCTTTCTCATACAACCCTGGAGCCCTCTGACCTGCTCTGGCTTCGGAAACAGGAAGTAGCGGGGAGAGGAAGACCATTCCAAGAAGAACAAATACTTTCCCCCTTTTATCTTGCAGAGTCCCTCCCCCACCCTCCTAGGCTCATCCTGCCTCATGCCGGAGACCCAAAATCCCAGCCATCACCGCCAGCCCCGCAGTCCAGCAAACACAGGCAGAGTCCGGGAGCCTGGTGTGGACCGGGACCCTGTGTGCATTTCCCTGTCTCTGGCTCAGGGCCTGGCATACAGCAGGTGCTCAACAGTTGTTGACTGAATGAATGGCTGGGTGCTTGGGCTGCCTGGTCGTGTCTCCCGCCCACCTTTGCCCTGAGCAACAGGAGCCACATCTGTCACAGAGCTCTGGGCAGCAACTGGAGCCAGTGCAGTGGGGGCATCTGGAGCCCTATTGTCTGAGTGGCCGTGGCCCGGGCTCTCGATGCCTGTCAGGGGAGAGCATCTTTGCTGACACATTTGGCCCCATTTCCAAGGGAGAGTCCACAGCCTGCTCTCTGGTTTTATAAAGCCTCGGGGAAAGGACGAGTGGACTCCAGGAAGCCAGGGCTTCCAGGAACCTTGGCACCTGACCACCATGGAAACGTCCCCGCACCAGCCTCAGGGTCAGAGTGAGGGCCAGCTTCAGGGACCACCGGATGCAGGCTGCTGTCACTMAAAGACTCACTCCCCACTGGATGTGCAGCTGCGACTCGCGGGCTGGCAAAGATGCCTGGGTGGTTGWGCACAGAGGTGTTATCAAGAGACAGCCAGGGGCGTTAATTGTGTGGCTCTTTGGGAAGACCGTTTGGTTCTACGAAGCACAATTGAGGAAGTCCTTTGGATCCAGCAGTTGCACATCTAGGAATGTGCTCTACACTAACTACAGCATCATGTGAAAGAAGCAACCTAAATATCCATCAGCTGGGGATTGGTTGGAAAAAGGGGCAAAATGGGATTCTATGAGGCCACTTACAAGAATGAGGCGAAACCTTATATACTTTCTTGAAAATATGCCCATTAAACAGTGTTATGTGAAAGTAAAAAAGCTGCAGAATACATATGGTTTGATACCATTGGCAAAAAAAAATCATCTACTAAATAAGTTTAAGTATGTAAGGGTTTGTGCGTGTATTCACACATGTGTATAAGTAAAATCTATTTCTCAACCACTCCAGGAGGTGGGGACTGTCATTACTCCCAGACAAGGCAACTGGAGCCCAGTGACCTCCCCAAGGTCAGTTTCTAAGTGGGGGATTGGGGATTGGAGCCCCAGCGGACTGGATCCAGGCTTGACCTTCAACCACTCCAGGTTCATGACTTATGAGGGTGTGGTGGCCCCCCGTGGGGAAGAGCTGATGGCTTTCAGCCTCAGGTGACTGCAACTGCAGGGCAGATTCTGGGTTTTCACTTCATACATTTCACACAGGCAGGCCATACTTTTGACACTTAGAATGAAAATATTTTCAAAGGGAAGGAAGCCACCACTGGGCTCTTGGGAGCAAGTCCCGCCGGGGACCCGGGATCCATGGAGGACTTACCTCTTGACTGCTCAGGAAAACACTGGGCATGGGCTCAATCTGCACAGAGATGTCACACTTCTGGGTGGCGTTCTTGGCTTTCTCCTCCTTCTCCATGCTCAGCTGGAATTTGTGTTTGTCTTGGGAAGCCCTAGGGRGAGGGGAGATGTTGCCAGGGCAGCWGGCCAGCCGAGGCCCAGGTTCAAGGGCTTTTGTGTACCTTAGAGGACCTGGAAGTGGCCTGTTTCTACAGGTAACTGGATTCTCCGAGACCTTGAGTCTCCTGGCCCCAAATTTCTAGAGAATTTAGTTTCAGGAGACTCTAAGGATGGTGACCGGGCAGTGGGTACCTGCTCCTACCTCTTGCTCTGGACACCTGCGTGGCATTGACAGGGCTGTCATGTTCCCGTCACTGTCTGACTGCCACATCTAACATTTTGTATCAACCCTTCTGCTCTCATAATAACCCCTCGAGGTCAAGATTCTCCTTGCTCCATTTTACAGATTAGTAAAGAGACGCCCAGCGATTTTCCTGCGGTCACCAAGCTTAAAAGTGGAGGAGTCTGGCTGTGAAACCGGCAACCTCGATGGGATCCTGTTCTTACAGCCACTGTGACTGCCTTGGCCCCAAGCCATGAGGCACATGAAGCTACGGGAGATTCGTGGGAYATCAATTTCACTCCAAATTTTTTGGGTAAAATGTTACTTCTGTTAAAATATGGATAAGCTACAGACAAAATTGCAGAATCATGTTATTCTAAATTAATCCATGGGACAATGGCAATCTTTTGTATTTATTTAAGTTGGCATTTCCGGCTTACTTGTTTGTTCAATAAATATTAAGGTCCCTTACGTGCCAGGTAGGTGTGAGTGCCGGGAACTCAAGGGCAGGCCAAGCCTCTGCAGAGACTCAGGGCGGGGCAGGTGAACGCAAACAGGCCTTGCTGTGTGTGCGGCAGGCCAGGCTGAGTGCAGGGGCTGAGGGGCCCATGCAGAGCTGCAGCTCCTGGCTGGGTCTGGTGAGGAGAAGTGCAGGCAGGCTTCCTGGAGGAAGTGGCATTTAAGCTGAGGCCAGTCATCTGGGACACAGGGCAGGGATGCTTGCTCAAGAAGCACAGAAAACTAAGCAGAGCTCTGTTTAACTGGTAGGCTGCTCGTCCACCCAACTCCACCTCCCTGTGCAGGGCTCCATAACCCCACCCCGCCTCGCCTCGCAGGCCCGCCCTCACCTGAGTGCCTCCCGGAGGGCCTTGAGCTCCCGGTCCTTCTTCTCCACCAGGGTGCTCATCTGCGCCAGCTTTGTCTTGAGCATGCACAGCTCCCTGCTCTGCTGCTGGACCAGGGTCATGTGCCGCTCCAGCTCCCTCTTCTGCTTCTCGCTGAGGTCCCCTGGAGAGATGGGAAAGCGGGTCAGGAGCCTTCTGCCTTGCCCCTGCCAGGCCCACCAGAACCAACAGGCAGTCCTGTCCCCCTGCATCCTCAGGGGCTTCAGCACTAGCCAGGGGCCCCACCTGCACCTTGGCCAATGACAGCCTGGCCTTCTGGGGTGCTGCCTGGGAGTCCCGCAGGCTCCTGCCTCACCCCAGCACTGCACCAGCAGGTCCAGCCCGGCCCACAGGGCATTTTGGGGTTCCCTGGCCAACAGTCAGCTGCCTGCTTCTGCCCTGTGTTGCCCAAGGGTGTTCTTCAGCGCCTGGTGCCTTCTCTGCTCTGTGTCCCCCCAATGGCTGGATCTCTCCTGACTGACTGTGGAAAAACCACTCTGAAAAATTCAGCCATGAATGTCGTAGGGAAGTGGCCAGGATGGACACGGGGCGGGGGGCAAATACCACCGAAGGCTTGAAGGTGTCCGGCTTCAGGTGGGAAAGAGCATTTTCTCTCCCTCTACTTCCCTGAATCTGGTTATTCCCATCTCCCAACTCCTGCTGTCTGTGCTGCTTGCTCAGTGGTGACCAGGGCTGGGAGAGAGGAGGGACTATGCAGAGCAGGAGGAAGGAGGGGACATGGAGGGGCGGAGGAGAGAGGAGCTGGGGGTGGATGGCCAGCCTGGCACGTCTGAGGAGCACGCAGCCTAGTGCTCCCCTGCTGTCACCCTGGGTGGCCACTCTTGTCCACATCAACCCTAGAGGCAGGTTTGTGGCCTCCTGTTTGCATTTGAGGAAGAGGAGGCCTAGAGAGCTCCCTTGACTCCAGAGTTCCAGGGATCCTGCAGGGTGGCCTGCCCGAGGGGCGCCATAGGATTCCCTCCAAGGCAGATGAGTCCTCTCCCATTAAAGAAAATTCTCCCAAAGAAGGAAGTTGCATCTCAGTGCAGAGGTCTGAGGTCCTCTGCAGAATGTGGCCCAGGGCCTCTTGGGGTGGGGGCTGGGAACCAGGGCCATGTCCACCATGTGGCCTGCCTGCCCCGGGGCTGCAGGTGCTTCAGGTGCACAGGAAAGCAGGGCCACCGTGGAGTTTCAGGCCGAGGTTGTCACTCTGGGGCCTCACTCCTTCTTTCCCAAGTGGGTGAGGATGCGGGAGACACAGGGACTCGACAAACCTCTCAGGTCTGACATTCGGCCATGGGCTTCGTTAAGGTCTTTCCTCAACCTCATGATGACCTCCTGCTGGGACAGGATTTCCTTCTGAGCAGCCAGTAAKTCATCTCTGAAACCCACAGAAACAGGCCAAGTCAGACCCACGCCACCCTGTGGTGTCTGCTGAGGGCTGAGCACAGAGTGATGCTCAGCCATGGTCTCTGGGACCCCCATCCAACCAGAGGACAAGGACAGTCTGTAAAAATTTTCACAAATTCATTTTGCTGTATCTTCATTCAAAACCACCCTGAGCTGGCGGAGGGTCTGGCTGGGTTGGGTGGCCTGAGGGCCGCAGCCCTGCCGGGGGGCACCCATCAGACTGACACCCTGTGGGCTTTTACGGAAGGGGTTCTCTGAGGCCGGGGAATAGCTGGGGAACCGTGTGCTTTGTTCTCACAGCTTGAGCCCCTGTGGAGAGACGGGGCCGGTCGGGAACGGAGGCTGCTCCTGGGGAGCAAGAGCAAGCGGCGGCTTCGGGGGCGGCAACCGAGGGGGGCACAGGATGTCCAGAGGACCGCTCCCGTCCCCAGGCCCAGAGGGCAGGGGACACTCTTTGGCCCCATAAGGGATGGCCGTCCTCTGGAGCGTCATTCCCCGGGAGGGCACTGGGCAGTAACGGCAGCCCCAGGACCTCGGCAGGGGACACGGTTGGAAGGATGCGGGGCCAGTTTCCGAGTCCGGCCCAGGTTTCTCCATGTGCGCATGCGTGCTAGGCTGGAGGTTGCGCAGGGTCTTGCGCGATCGGAGGGGCCCGGGGCTGGGACGGTGACCGGGGGCGTGTCACATGGGCTCCCTGGCCTTTGAAGCCCAGGCTCTTCTCTCGCAGGCTTCCGAAGGCAGAGTGTGTTCATTATGGAGTCAATCAGAGGACTGGCAGGGTGTGTGTGTGTGTGTGTGTGT